ACCTTCTCCTTCACACCAATTGCCAGCTGCTTTTAGGGACAGACCAGGCTTATGGTCCATTTGAAGAAATAAAATCATAACCTTCTCAGAGAAATCATTCATGACATCTTGCATTTAAAATAGAGTTATGATACGCTGTTTGTAGCAGAAAAAATGTACTCCAGTGGCCACGGGAAGCCCATTATAAAGAATTGTTTGTCTTTCTCTTAGTCCTGTAGTTAGTCATTAAAGCAGCATGTCATATAGCCTGCCCAAAAATGTCAATAAAACTGGATATTCCTGGCATAAAAGGTAAGCAAAATAAAATTTGTTTATGAAGGCTAACTTTTACTGTATATTTTAATGCTGTATTTAGTAAGAACTTGAAACAAACTAATTTTTTAATAATATTTTTAGGTCATAAAGAACTTAAAATGTCATCCTGCGCAAATCCTCAAGAACAAAAGAACACTTCATCTTCCTTTCTTGGGTTCAGATCACCTTTTGCTTGGCTTTTTTCCTTTAGAAAATCAAGGAAAAACCAGACTCAGAAGGAACCACGGTGAGCCATAATCAGAACATACATTATTTGCAGCTTTAAAAAAGTTTAATAATTGTTCTGTGTTTTGCTTAGAAAACTTTGTCAAAATTATTTTTCCAGTCTCTTGCCTTTCACCTCACTGGGAAGAGTGGGATTTTACTTGGTCATGTAATGAGAGATTATCTGTTCTGTGTCAGAAGAATGAGGAATAAGTGGCAAGTAGTAGGTAAAGTCTCTTGGCTAAATGTATTTTGCTCAGGTCTTGCATAAAGGCTTAAAGTGTGTGAAAGACCCTGGACTTAGCAGCAGCTACATCCTACTTAATTCCCCCTCAAGAGGACAAGGTGTAAGGAGCATGGGGATCTGGTGCCCTATGGCTGTGATGTAACAGGAAAAGTTGCTTTCCCAGGCCATGGCAGGGAATATTGGCCCCAGGCAGCTCTGCTGCAGCAATTCCCACCATTTCTAGCCCAGAGGCAGCTTAGAGGCAGACCTGCAGCTCTAGCTTTAGCTCTAGCCAGGCAAACAGGGCAGCTCTCCAGTGTTTCGTCAGGGCTTTGGTTTCAACTGAATCTGAACCAAAAATGGTCTCATGCAGCGCATGAGCATCCTTCTCCCTTGCCATCCACCGTGAAAGCTGCTGTTCAGAGGGAGAGGTGCTACGCTCGGGCTAGTTAGGCTGACTCTTCTCTCCTAACTTTCGGCCTGTGTGGTCCTGTATGTCAGTAACACCTAAGTGAAACACTATTTTGTGTGCATCTCAGGGTATTGCTTGGGTCTGGCAACTGTAGGTAAAGGTGCATTGTGCCCTGCTGTGAAATCTAAGCATGAAGCTGCGAGATCTGTGGCACAAAGAGCTGATTTTCACTCCTTGAGTCTCGGGCTGGTATTCTGGTCCGTGCCTGGGGCTCCTAGGTGGCATGACGCTAAGACAAGGCACAGCTATAATAGACACTGACAGGGAACGCAAGCCTCTAAAGAACTGGTGATTAGTCTGATACTCGGGTTTTGTAGCACAGCAGCCTGCCATTGTGGAGTGTTTGTATCAAAGCACAAGGAGATTTAAGGAGAGGTTTGAACAGAGGCCGTGAGGTTAGCTTTGTGGATGTTTACTGGTAAAAGAAAACTGCAAGGTTTTAACACTGCTCCATACGTGTCATCTGCTCCCTCCTCTTCCCTGTGACATGGTAATGCCCCTTACGCTGGGACACATCAACACCAGACCGCAGCCCTCCCCGCAGAATAAAGGGGCACTTGTGTAACCGAGAATCAGATTTCAAGGGCGCTTTATCCTGGTGCACGCTAAGGCAGGCGGTGCACGAGCAAAGGTCTAGGCTGTGCTGTACAACCCAAGCACTGGAATGGTTTCTTAATTTGAGAAGGCAAAAAAAAAAAATAAACCAGGCCTACTCATTGCATCAGCCTTTCTAATATGTGTTTATCTGGCTTTTCCACTGAAAATCTATCCTTTCTCAGGCTCAGATCCCTTTGATTTCTTCCCGAGCGCAGCTTGAAAAATAAACAAGTCGATCCTGACGTGTAACTGAGCTGATTGCTTCATTTTCTAGTCACGCCTCTCTGTCGAAAACTTCCCCCACCCTCTTCTAGGTGTTGCCGTGGCATGTGGTTTGCTTTATGCATAGACAAAGCACTGAAATAATCTGCCTCTCACCAGGTAGAGTTATTTTGGAGAGCTAGTGAAATACAATAGGAGGCAGCACTGTAAATCCTGTAAGTAAGCCTCACTGGCAGAAGCTTTTAAATAACTAAATAATTAATGGCTGTTTAGAGGGTCCTTTCTGTACTGGAGAGACAGTTTCATCGGCTGCGGTGGCGTTTTGCTGCAAGAATAAATTATGGATGCTGCAAAAAAGAGTACGCTTATGTGGAGATACAGAAGATGCTAATAGAAGGTTTGCAACTGTAGTCTGAAGGTAGTGAAATGTTTGATCGCTTTTGGTTCACAGGTGTGCGGTGCGCTTGAATTCCTCATTCTTTTCTGATACGTAAGCGTGAAAAATGCTGTTTAATCGTGTTCTCAGCATATTTGAGTTATGTGTTTGTTGCTTAGCTGGCTTCTTACGTCGTGCTGGTCAGAGCAATAGAGAAGAAAACGGATTACACTCTGACATTAGGCAGCTCGGGGGTGGCCGGGGGAAGACAGGCGCCTCAGTGAAAATACTGATTCGCAGCAGATTTTGTTAATGGATTGCTATTATGGTTACCAGTAGCAATAGCAGTAAGTAGATTCATCTTTTAATCTTCCATTCAGTTGTCATAAAAACGATACATACGTATATAAGCGAAAAAGTATAAACTATAACCTGTTTTCCATAGTGAGCAGTATTTTTCTGATGGCAAATATTTCTGAAATTGAGCAGTAATTTAGCTTCTTTTATGCTTATGAGTAACAGATAATGTTTGTGGGTATGTGTGTTTGTGTGCATGCATGTGTGTGCAAAATAATGTAAACATTGCTCAATAGCCTTAACCGTAAAAGAAACTGAATTACTTTTTCCATAAAATTAAGCAATATTTCACTGGAAGTAAGCAAAACTTTAATTTTGAAATGCTGAAAAACTTAAAAGAGTTCAGAAAAAAAGAATGAGGCAGTTTGAGAAGTGGGGGGATTGGCACAAGGAAAAGATCAAAATAACTTTGGGTGAGTTGGCAGGGAGGAAAATAAAGCAGGATGCAGTGGTCAGTTACTTCTGAAAGAACAGTGACAACAAAGACATGGAGGAATTTAGAATAGTGCCAGAGATGCAAATGAAAATTTAATTTTTGCCTAGACTATCAGAAGACATTTCTAACATGTCTACTTCATGTAGCTGCATTGCAAGGAGCAATTAATGCAACACCCAGCACAGCACTGAGTGGGGAGAACCGTAGAGCGGCTTTGCACGGTAAAGCTGAAGAGAGCTTCTTACAAAGCTTTTACATTTTTATTATGCATATAATTAAAATTAAGGCAGCTTGCTAACCCACGGGATTTCATTGAATTTGGCTTGCAGGAAATCATCGTAAAATCTCGGAAACATAGGTTTCATTCTTAATTTGTTGTAGAAGCATCAAAGCATATTCAGCTTTATTTTAGCTTAAAGGAAGAGCTACATACATCCCCGAATCCTGATTCTGTAAACTTCATAACCCACTGAATTAATGGCTGATCATATTTAGTGCTACAAGGAAAAAGTAGGAATTTTTGATTCAGATTGTCTGCCCAGATCCTAAGCCCACTGAGGTCAACAGGCTTGTTGCCTTTGGTTTCAGTTGGACCCCATGTCAGAGAGGAATCCTGGTTTTACAGTTCACAATTACAGAAGCAAAAACAAATTGCACCTTTCAACTGTTCTTCCCTGCCTGCGAGCACATTGCAAACAAATGACAAAGCACTTCAGGAGGAAAGGCTGGGCCACAAAGAACCTGCCAAGGAGCCGGTTCATACTTGCTGTTGAAGCACAATAAAGTAGTCTACCTGAGCACAGGAAGGTTTTAAGAGCCTAAGAAGAAGGTCATTCAGAAAGACTGAGACAAACAGGACTGAGCAGACTGTCTTTCCCTACTTCACTTTCTCTCAAGAATTCGTGGGAAAAAGCAGTGTCTGAGACAAGGAAGAACTGGCAATAAGCACAAGCTGAGCGACATGTCCTTTGGGGCATTTGAAGAGACGGAGTTTGCTTAGTTGTAAATAGGGATCTGCAAACTGAATAGACTCCATGAAGTCAAGCCCTGTTCTTGTTTCCTTAGTTTATTTTGTATTTGTATGTCTGCAAGTCACCTTGTGGAACAGAATACCTTTTATGTTCAGAGCTTCTCGTCTTGGTCTAACCACTGCATTACTCACAGGCAGACACTCTAGCCAGTTCTCTGCCCAGCCCTTGCAGCCCTGTATAGCCGCAGAGCCTTCTATCATGTTTAAAAATCAGTAAATAAAGGCTCTTTCGGGTGACTAGCAGCAAGTTCCAAAGTTCACACCGAAAACAATCTGCCATCTCTCCTCCTTCTCAGGGGCAAAGCACAGCTCTGAGTCTGAGCAGGGTGAAATGGAAGAGAAAACCAACAGAATTGCAGGTGCAAGCCACCTACAGATTTACAAGTAGTTAACTTGGGCTATTCGTAGTGCCTACTAAATTATTGTCGTTTTGAAAAGGAAGTAATACCATCTTATCGTAATGTTGGATTGTAACAATTACTTCATGGCTGTTGCAGACACTGAGATGTTGCGTTCATGGTTGGCTGTGCAGCTACGACATTTGCAAGCTGACGGGGTCAAACTGAATGGTACATTCCCACAGCATGTTTTCGTTAGCAGGATTTTTCTGGGAGGGGGGTGGAAAGGGTGGGTTCTTCACAGAGCAGTCTGTTTTTCAGATGCTTCTCACTAGTTGTTAAACTGCTGGGTACTTACTACCTGGTAAAATGACATCATGTTCCTTTTCAAAGCCAACATGTAAATCCTTCTGCCTACAGATATGACAGTTGTGCTCGCCCATCATCGAAAGTGGAAGAAATGGCAACGGTAAGGAGCTTATCAACTTTATTGTCAGTACTGTTTAAACCACAGATTTTTCAAAAACCAGTTCCCTTTGTTTAGGCTGTTGATACTACGCCTGTTTGAGCAGTATTACTGCGGTTCTTGTTTTAAACACTGAGTAAAAAGTCTGGGTTGTGAATCTGTTGGATGCAGTAGAATGAGCTTGCGCTCTTAACTATACAAGTGCAAAGCTGCCCTAGGTAAGCCCAAAGCCTAGCTCTGATCAGGTTTCAGTTCTGTCGAATAGTTGTATAGATAATTTCCTAGGCCAAAAGCCTCCCATATTTTGGCAACTGTAACCAACCTGCAAATAGGTCAAAACTCAACAAATAATGATCTAGTGTATTTACTTTGTCTTTTCATTTGTGCAAGGATGGAAAAGAGTAGCTCTGCAAGGATGGAAAAAAGTAGCTGACTTGGGCAGGCAGTAAGCTAGAGCCTCTTCTGCAGTATTGCCATGTGCAGAATTACCATGTAAATGTAAATTTTGACAGTAGAAAATTATTTTTTGGCTGAACGTTCCATTTTCTAAGCACAAGCTCAATTTAAGGATGAAAGAACAGATTTATTTCTGATGTAAATTTAAGTGCATGCTGTTGAAATAAACAGATTTCCTCCAAGGATGATATTTGCTATTTTAATTACTTTATTGCCCTGTATTACTAACGTGTCTTTCCTCCTCTTCAATTGTGTGGTATAACCACAGAGGGGAATAAGAAGGTATACAGTATATAATCAAAGTTATAGAGGAGGTAAATTGGCCACCTCCCTTCTCTCATATTCCAAAAACAAAAGGATAATCTATATTAATATATGACTGGACAAAGACCAGAGAATCCGGCCTATTATATAAAAAGACTATTATAGCTAGACAAGAAAAATATTATGAATATTGAGGACTAAAAAGTGGTTTGTTTTTTTATTAAAGAAAAGAAACAAGGAGGAAGAGCCTCATCTAAAATAAATCAGCAGTTCAGCAGTTGTCAGCAATTACACCATCTGAGATTGTGAGCTGAGAGAAATATGGGTGGGGTAGGAACCTCTCCAGCTTAACATGTAAACTGAACTCAGATGGGGAATAGGAGGACATTTCCCCACTGCTGAGGTAATTTATCACAGCTCCCTTCAGTGCTGCCTTGCAATATGAAAACTGACCGTGGTGTTAAATTATTAAATCTCCGTTCGAAGGTCAGTGTGTGAATTTTAAAATGTGCTAGTCAAGGAACACGCGATTAGGAAAATCTGAATTAAGAGATACGTGCAATGCGGATGAGTATGGAGAAAATAAGTAAACTATGCCACTTCTTATAAGGTCATTATAACTCATGTATCCAAACCATGCTACAGTATGAGGATAAGATGAGCAAATCTCCTTATTACATACATACAAGTCTCTAAAATGCATGCAACTTTACAATCCTGTTGTATATTTTAATAATACAGTAATTAATGGACCCACAAAGATTTTACTGACCTCTGTGACTGGTGACACAATTTGTGATGTGACATGTGAAACGTGATTTGAACCCACGTGTAGAACTAAAATCATGTTGCCTTACAATTTTAACAGGCTGAAATATGTAATTCCCCAATGTCAACTGAAACAAGTGGTCAGTGTTTTGATGCAAACCAAAGTGAAATGATGGAGAAGACTACACAGGAGTGGAATGAACAGCTAGAGAAGGAGTTTTTCAGTGGTAAGTGTCTGCCCTTACTTTGTCTGATATTGTTGTTACCAGAAGTGACTGTAGTGACTGGTTTCAGGGAATTTTCTGCGGAAGCATAGGCTGTAACGATATGGCTCGTTACTTTCTAGCTTAGTGGCGAATTTTTGCTGGCTTCGTCTGACAGCAGAATGTCTACTCTGACACTGACTTCAAGTTGTGTCATGCTTAGAGTGCATGTCATCTTATACTGATCCAGTTCAGAAGAATCACACCTTAAAAGCGTACATTTCTCTCTGCTGATTCTGACAGGAGCATGTGTTGCATCCTTTAGATACAGACAGATGTGAGAAGAATTTCATCCTGGTTTCCTGCATGCATAATTTTGATAATGAATTACTGGTCCTTGTTTTATGAATTCTAAAGCCTTAAACCACAAAAGCAAGTGGTGTTAGAGCATTCAGTTTGCTTTCTGAGAGCCCTTATAGAACCAGTTGAAAGTTGGTGGTACTTTGGGGTTTTTTTCTCATTGCTGAGAAGCGAGGCAAGACCAGCCACAAACTATAGGAGCACAGAAGTGTTCTTCCCTAAACTTTCACAGATCTATGCAGGAAAAGGTCCATGAATATTACTTTCTATCACCCAAAATGGCAAGAGATCACAGACTGAAAGCACGAATGGGAAGCGGTGGGTAAGCCAACAGTGCTGGAAGAGGAGAGTGCTGCGTGGTGGACAGAGGTTCTTCTGAAACTCACGTTGCTCTTGGGTGTCAGCCATAACTGTGCACACTTGCCCATTGACAGAGAAAAACTGTACATAGCTTGGCAGATGTCCTCCAAATGGGAGACTTTGAAAAAACTTGCTTGTTTTCTTGTTCTAAACAGACTCTTTCAGGAATCTTCTCTCTTCTGTGCTGAAGAGAGAGTTAGAAAAATGGAAAAATTTTGTACCTTTGTATCACCTTTTATTCCAATGATACATACCTCGCAATGCTTTCTTAATGATTCTGTACGACTAACACAGGTCTGTAATGGCTGATCACGCTGTCTTTTTTATGTAAATGGATTAGGAAATGCTGGAACAAAGCAGCCATATCCATTTCTATTTATATCTTACCTGTGCTACTTTCAAAATACAAGAATAATACAATTAGCGAAGGCATAATTCATTCTGGCAATAAAAATATTTTAAACGCCTTGCTGTCTCTTAGTCTTACAACTGAATATCTTGGTTATCTGAGCTGTATAGTGTTTAATTCCAGTTCGTGAGACTGTCTAGATGTATAAATACAGCTTTGTTGCTAAAATGAATCACAGGTTCCTAGCTAGTTCATTATCCCTTTTTTACCTAGAAAAAGCCATTTTCAGGGCTCATTTTAAAGTAATAAGCTACAATTTAGTGGAGAACCTCTTTGATGAATGAATGAATGGTGAACAAATGGTGGACATGCCAGGCTACAGAATATGCTTGTTTGAATGTTTTCAGGATTTTGTATTTTCTTACAGTTACATCATAACTGCTTTGTGAACACACAGAAAGATCCATGTTTGGATCTCTCCCTAGCGAGTTCTTTCCAGGGATTTTTGCTTACAAACTGGAAGTGGAATGTTTACACATACACACACACGCATACATAGTGTGTGAGTAAGAATTCAGACTTCCAATTGTTTTGTTTTTCTTTTAAATAGCATAAAGACTAACATTTACATAAAGAGCAGGTTTAGGATCAGTCATGGAGAGGCACATTTTTTTCCTTGTAGTCATAATGGGTGACCGCTGAAAGGTCCTGTGGAGGAAGAATGTGTGGAATGGGAGGGATTTTGAATGCTGGGAAGATGACTCCTTTCAAAACCAGTTCTGATTATGAATGTAGTACATGAAACTTCTTAACATGAATAGTCAGAAGATTGTTAAAGAAAACAAAACCGATTATCTTTTTTTTTTCTGTGCAGTTCTAAATGATCTGGATGACCAGCTGGCCCAGGAACAAGCCCAAGACCTATTGGACAGGACAGTATCTACCAGCAGTGCATCAAATGTCCAATACAGTAGTGCATTCCCCACTTCAAAGAGGCTGACTGCTAGAAGGGGGCAACACAGAAATGACTGGAGTGACATGCCTAGCACATTTTTCCCAGATGGACTGAGAACAATAAGAGCCAAAGATGAACACAGGATTTTCATCAGACCAAGGAAATTACACAATGCTTATATAAACTGGCATCAAACAGCCTTTCAAGATGAGTACAAATATAGTGATCCTGTTGATGGAAATCCTCATCTGCTCAGCAACAGACTGTCTTCTGCTTCTTTTGGACGGTCTTCAGAAGGTAGCTTATATCCTCCTTCCATAACGCAGAACAGTGGATTTAGGCACAAGAGGTGTATGAACAGGAATACAGCTGGCAGAAGCTACTCTGTATGTTCCCTTCAGAGATGTCCATCATCAGGATCTTCTGACCAGCTGTCAGCATCTAGCTTACAGCATTCGCTGACAAGGGAGAGCATCAATGGTTTTGTACCAAGGTTTGGTCGTCAGAACCCAAAGAGAATTCCTCTGTCTTCTATTGTATGGAACAACACACCGGACACTCCTGGACAAACGCCAACTCAAGAAAAAATGTTTAGAACCCAATCACTGATGGAGTTTCGTGCTACAGACCATGGTAGATATCCTAGCTCTTTGCAAGAAACCAAGCAATATGCGTGTTTCCACTCAAAACACCACTACAGAAGGTCTGTTTCAAGCAGTAGTTGCTTTAGTAGGGTTAGTTGCCCAGACAAAGCTGCTTCTCCGTTGCCCTTTGATAACTGGGAAAATTATCCATTGTACAAATCAGAAAACAGTCTCTCTAGATCCTACTACAGAGATACTTCTCATGGCAAGTTGTATGCAAACCAAAACAATTCTCTGTATGGAAAAAAAGACAGCTATCCTTCTTGGGCTGATATTCCTCAGTACTACAGTGACGAAGTGTTTATTTCCCCTGATGCCAGCTTGGAAGTGATTATGGCCAATTTAAATGATCAGCAGTGGGCACATACAAAGAATGCCAAGTTTGTTTCACAGCGCCTGCAAAACGATTTTCATGTGTATTCTCCAGAAAATACAAACATCAAAAGGATAACAAGAAGTGCAAGTAGAACTTTTTCGGAATTCACCGAGGGCTGTCAGCCTTGGCTAAGTTGTAACTCTTCAGTGTCTTCATCTAGCGCCAGAACTGATGAGTCGGTCTTTCCTAATTCGAAGGACCAAACAAAAGCTATAGGACTGAACAGGAATTCAGTCAGTGTTACCCAAAGAAGTACTAAGGCAGACTTTACACAAGTAGAAAGGGTTGAAGGTGTGAAACTGCCGGATGAAGACATGCAGTCCCTTTCTCAACAAGCAGATACAAACTACGTCAACACCCAGAGCTTCCCCTCTAACAGCCCTGCTTCTGCCATGTTGCAAAGCGATGCATCTCTCTTTAACACGATGAGACCAAAGAGGCAAACCCAAGTCACTGCCAGAGGAGATGCTGCAAAAATGTATACATCAAGCAGTGATAAAAGAAATGTACAGATGAAGGAAAACGATTGCCCCCCCAACGGTGTGTTCAGTCAGCCTCCCTGTATTTCACCAGCTGATGGGAGCAGGAAAGAAACTTCTTTTCCAAGTTGGAAAGAATGGAATCATACTCTTTATGCAGCAAAAAGAGAGAACATCAAACAGGATGATCGAAGTGTACAAGCCGTTAACCAACCTCCTCCAAAGAGACAGTCCGCACTGCTGAATGTTGCCTCTGCTCCAGCCACTGAAAAATTAACAAACTGCCAAGGCACGTTGTCCTGTCCTCCTGAACGTTCATCTAGCTCCTCGCAAAGCTCTCCACAAGCACTTTCTCATAAAGACAATTCTAAGTGTTTAGGAACAGTAACAGGCTCTTCGGTAAACTGCACAGTTACTGAAGCTCAAGCAGAAGGTGGAAAAACAGCTCAAGTGAGCAGAATAGGTTTCACCAAAAAGATTTCACAGAAGACGCTGCAAAATACAAGCACTTTAGTTACTAAGGACTGTAACAGACAATGCACTACTAGTTCTCCACCAAATGGGAATTCTGGAAATATCTGTATGCATGGCTTTGATGGAGACCCCAAGACCTCTGAACATAGTTTAAGTTATTTTTGCCTTGAAAAAGAAAGAGAAAAAATAAGGAGTAATTCACCTCGTATTGAAAGGCTTCACAAGCAAGACAGCTTGCTGAGACATACCAGTAGCTGCAGCGTTACTGGCTCCCCAGGCAGAAACAGCCTCAAATCTCCTGACCCACTCGTTATTTATTACACTTTGCCTAGAAAATCAGCTAGCATTGCTGGCAGTATTATGTCAGACACCCCCATCTCTTTACCTAGAGAAAGTAGAACAATGTGTGGTGGTTTAAGGTCTGAAACTCCACACAGAGCTGATGCCTTTTGTTCTAATCAGAGAGATGTGTCTGATATAGACTCAAAACATTCCTTTTTAGCGTCAGGGTCATTAAATGCTGCTACAAATAACAAAGATTACCCCAGCCCTTTAACTGAAAGTCCTAATGATTCAGTAAGTAGTAGTACCTCAGTTGAACTGAGAGACAGCTGTAAGCATCTGAGCAGAACAGAGTCCTCTGTGTTTTCAGACAGTAAGGAGAGGGGAAATTTTTTGCAGAAATACAAAACTACAAGCACATTTACAGTTTGTGTTGATGAAGATCACATCAAGTATCATGAACTAGTTTCAATTTATTACACGTTACCACGGAGACATTCAAGAACATTTTGTAACCTCTTTAGAGATAATCCAGAGGATGCAGATTTACCTTGTCCCAAAGAAAATGCTCAGTCACCAAGAGTACGAAACAAGAAAAATGAAGGTCATGTGAGTTTAGCAAATGAGGTTTTCCCCAGTACTCTGGAAAAAGAGGTGCCTTCAAATTCCTCTGACCTAGTGCCTCCAGCTCTGGTCACACCTCAGAACTCAGGAACTGGTGTTGATAGTGAAAAAGAGAATTCCCACTTACCTCCTAGCTCTGAGAAGATGCGTACTTCAGAGTCGGTGAGTGTGGTACATAACGGGAAAGATAGATCAGCAGGGCTCTCATTAGCAGAAAATGTGCTTTCTGACATGGTGGCAAAAGGTGGTCCACAATCTTTTGGTGGTCCACAATGCACTGCATTAGTGGCTAAGTCAGATAAGGCCATTTCTGATGCTTCAAGGAGTCAAAATACAGAAATATGTCTAAAAGAGAAGAAGGAAATTTTACAAACAGCCACACCACTAATGTCCACTTTATCAACCCCTCCCAAGCCAGGCAGAGGTTCCGAGAACCCTTCAACTGCAACAAATAAAAACATACAGAAGGGAAATTCTGAAAACATCTGTAAGGTCCCTAAAGCGAATACCAATAAAAACCTGAACAGTTTACTCTCCCACCCAGGACAGAAGCGTTTCCTTGGAAGGAACAGTAACACAAAGCGTGCTGACGTGCCACTTCCTTCTGCGGAAGACACGTACAGGGATAGTACCCAAGTCAAACAGAAAGTAAATTTCCTACAACGAAACACCTCTCTGTATAATAATAAATGTAATGGACTGCTGTTGAGGGCTGACAGTTCAAGAAAAAATGCAAATGATTTAAACTCTTGTAGCAAAGTGCTTTCAGAGTCTCAGAACAAAGCATCTGAGGTAAGCACAGCTCCCAGTGCTGATCCATTACTCCAGCTAGACAAAGTGGTTAGCACAGAGACAGATGAATTAAATAATTCAGAAATTAAAAAAGAGAAAACCTCACAGAGTTCTCAGGTGGGTAAAGATCATAATCATTTGCACGAATCAGAGAGGCACAGTGAAGGCAGCCTGACCATTAACTGCAAAGATAAACTCTTCAGAGTTACAGGCGATCAGAAGATAGCACGGAGTGCAGAAGACGAGAACAAGCTTCTCTCTGACTGCATGAGAGACAAGGTCAAAGATATAGAAAAAAGAAAAAACAGACCTTCTATTAAAAATAAACTGGCAGCTGTTTACAAAACTAGTCGAAAATTTTCAAGAAAAAATTTACCCCCTAAGCCGCACATCAGTAACATTTTTTCACAGAATGATGTAAGTGCCACTTCTCCACAGGTCGACATGTCCCTTGACTCACTGACTTCAGCGGATTCCCATCAGCCATTCTTGCAGTTGGACAATGGAAATCAGAATCACAATCTGGGCCCTGATAAGAATACACCAAGACCAAGAACAGCTGAGAATAAGAAGACTGAAAATCAGAATGATCCTTCTTTGCTTGTTAATAACACCAATTGGAGGTCTTTTACAAGCTTGTACACTCAGAAGGAAGCCATCAGTCCCAAAAAATCTACAGTGAAAGTGGAAAATAGGCCCAGTCTTACAACCCTATTTCCAGATAAAGCAGCGAGCACAAGAAACAAGAATTCCCAAACACTTGATCGGAAGTTAGAAAACAGAAGCCAGCCCGTCTCTCCCAGCGCTACTACATCAGACCCTCTGGGTGGTGACAAAAAAAGAGCTAGCAGTCGTGCCTGCAGTCCTCCCTTGCCGCTTTTAGCCGACAAAAACTCAAACATGTACGTAAATAGCTGCTTGCGGGCAGACAGGTGTCCAGAGCAAAATGGCACTTCCCAGCCAGCGCTTGGTCAGTGTCAGAACACCCCTCCATCTGATAGCCTAAAAAACGCTAACTTGCGAAGCTCTCAGTTGTGCAAGAGTCACGCCAAAAGTCAGCGTGAGCGTCACCTTTCTGAGAGTCTTTGTGCTCGAGATTCCCATGAGACCTTTGCCTCTGGAAGCAATATTTTACCAAAAGATGGTATACATGGGAAGAGATTTAAATCTTACTCGGAGCTGTTGTCCTGTGATGAAAACGAAAACTGGGCATCAGATGGTGAAAAATGTTACAGCACTGGAAATTTCATGTATCCTTCTGTTGAATTTGGTATATTTGGCAAAGAACAACAGTTGGCTTTCCTGGAAAATATCAAAAGGTCACTCACAGAAGGGCGATTATGGAGACCTTGTCTTCTTAATAACCCTGGTGCTCTCAGAGATGGGGAGACCCAGGCTGTAAACAGGGCTGAGCTTTTGAGCTCAGGTTCTGCCGGGAGCATGATGTCATCCGCTGCTTCATCCCCCGGAGAGCCGACTGATATCTATCGGGAAGACCCAGCAGCTTATTCGGACTCAGACAGTGATACGACCACCGATGATGAATACTACCTAGATGAGATAGATAAAGAATCAGAGCTATGAAAGGCCCGTGGTACTCAGATGGCACGATAGCTCGGGAGTTTCTGGGCAGGCTGAAACATGTAAAATGCTTGGAGCCAGTTCTTGTGCTGCTATAAATTGGTACAACTTCATTGGTTTTAAAGAAGTTAGTATGTTATGTTAGCTGAGCATTTGACTTTTGTATTAAGTACATGGCTTCAGCATTGTTGTTTCTCCTAACAGGGAAAAATAATGTTAAAAAATCCCTTCCCAGAATAATAGAAGGTAAACAGCTGTGGAGCTTTGGGCAGTGTAACTCCAGAGATGGCTTTCCTCTGAGTCAGCAAGCAATGGCTCAGGCTCTTGCCAGCTACACAGTGCTGGAATGGATAAGTTCTAGCTTGAGCTACTTTTTCTTACAAGACTTAAAAGAAAACCAAGAGGTTATGTTGCTGATAAATTGCTGCTTCTCCAATTTTCCTCATTTACCAGATCAAGCGTGATAATGTCAATCCACCCCATCCAACAAACACCGCCACAAAACAAAACCTGTTTGATTTATACAGTGTATTCTGTATGAATGTTCTGCATTCCTGGGAAGCGTAGCAGCCATGTCCCTGGTGGCCTATGTTCTGCCTTGCAGTTGAGGCGGGTTCCACACCGGGATTTTTCTCTTGAGCATGGCAAGAGCAGTGAGCAATGTGAGTTACAGGAGTGCTGCTTGTGCATGGGAAACAGCTCAGCAAAGGGCACAGGGCTGGAAACCTCACTGAAACTCCCGAGGATGTTAAGAACCCCAGCTGAGCATGGAAATCTGCTTTGCAGACATGGGAGGTTGATAACCAGCAGAAGCTTCGGTTCCAGTTGAGGTGAACGGCCAGATTTCCACCTTTGATTTAGGAACAGGTCAATTTGGATTATTAATCCGCCACTTTAAACCATGAAAAATGTAAAAAGATTTACCCTATTTATTTCCTATTTAACCCTCATAGGTTGAATCCCAAGTTGTCCTAATAGTGGGAAGCAGCCGTATCCAATACAGCTCGTTACATCCCTAGGTTCTCCGTCTGCCTCTCTGCTCTGCCAGTCTCAGGGTGAGGCAGCGGCAGCCGCCGGGGCGCCCCC